TATATGCATTAGACCAGGGACCCCATATGCGGAGTCTACTTACCTAATGAGGCAGGCAGTTGGTACTTACTTATTGCTGAATAAAACTTAAGAGCCTCCTCATTAGGGTAAACGTACACTTTCCTAGACTAAACAACACAACTAGGACAGTTGCATTGTAGCAAAACGGACAGTTTCAGAAATAGCAATCCATTCGTGTACTCGCTTGCATAACTTCAGGAACGCAGCGGGCGAAGTTCACATCAGCAGCTCGTATTTATCCTTATAAATAGGCTCATAATACATTTGAATCGCATTAATATCATACACATATCTCTGTCAGAGGCGTAACAGAAATAGTGCATCCTGTTTGAGCGCGCGCCGGCGACGAGTGCCGTGCTGCGCCTGAGTGTTGAGCCGAGCGCTCGGATCCGACGGATAATCGATTTTACGAGCTCCCGAAATAAACCGAGTCCCTCCGGCACAACATGCATCATCGACGGTCACATTCTGCACCCAGCTTGTGTTCTACTTTTGTACTTAAGGGAAATGTATGACTCGACGTCCACATGTTGTTAAAGAAACAACCGTGCTGATTAAATACAAAGTTCGTTTCCATTTTCAAACAAATCATAAACTTCAGCTCGAATATTGAACATGACATCACTGGTGAACCAGTTCGTTTAATCAAAGAATTTGATCAATATGTCGGACGCCATTTAAGACTAAGTTATCTAGCTAGTTTAGAGGAAAGCAACGTGGGCGCTTCTACTATGGAACTCAATTCGAAGACGAAATAGGGAAACTACATCTATTTCAGTACAATCGAAATTATAGAAAACGGTTTGTAGCTAGAATAGCGTCCCGTCAAAGGCAATAAATGGGTCCGTTCACCCAAATAGTGCTGTGGGTGTGTGTTTTATTGTTACGAGCGGGTTAACGAGCGCCAGTATTACCAGGCCCCGTATGTCTGTGCCCCGAACCTCGCCAGCCCGTCTTTCTATCACAAACAGTAAACGATTTCATATAAATACTTTCTCGTATTATATTCCGGATTATTGAAATAAGCATTTAGGCACTCTGTTGGAAAAGTATACATATCATTACGATTAGAGTTTTACTACCACTGGCGTTTAACTCTTTTGATTATCTTTAACATAAAAGTTTCGAATATGCGACCTCCTTCTAACAAAACCTCTTGTGAACAGACTAACAGAGACTGTTTAAGGAACAACAGTAACTTAAAATTACCGATTACCCAGATATTTTGATTAAATTTTTTATATATGGGCGGCGGCGTATCGAAGAGTTGATTTGATAAAATCTAAATGAGTTCGTTAATATTATTTCAATATTGGCGTAGGTACTTGTAAGACCAAGGTGTCTCAGAGCATGCGCATGCGCATCCACTGGGACAAGTCCGACATATGTCATGTCTGTCGACATTTACGACTATCCCACATTTGAAATAAGAATACAAATGTGACAGTCGCATGTGTGGCCTCGTAAATACGTCAGTATACCAGAAAAGGAATTAAGAATCCAATTACAAATATTTTCATAAAAGGAATGGATGTCTTGAAGGAATTGTGAGGGTTCATCTTCAGAAATGAAGTTCGATATGTACTCCATTTTTCTTCTATAATATTTTCGAAGTATCACAATGTAAGACGAAATTGTTTATAATGTCGATTTTACAACTTTACGGTCAGTATAGGACCATCTCATCTCATTACCTCATCACAATACATATTCATGAGCTGTATAACACTATAAATATTGCATTGCATCCCGCTCTTGTCAAATAAATATATTTCTTTACGGCGTGAAACCAATCGTTGTGGAGATAGCGTTATCGTTTAATGGCCACTTGAGCCACGACACGACGCCACATAAAAACAAAAAAGAAATAAAAAAAATATATTCTTAAAAGCCGCCGTCCGTTCGCGCCTCGATGTAATAACATTTGCATTTCCTTGCGTTTGCGTTGCAGACAAATGACTCGGTTCTCTCGAACGCATCCAGCTCTCGATGGATCTCAATGCTTTATTGAGTCATAAATCGCACTTCAAGTACTTTGTACTAATATGCTAAAAGGTTTCGGTTTTATTGCGATACTGATTCACTGTCATCATAACATTTACAAATTAGATTGCTTCAAAAGTAGTAGTAAACTTGAGTTTCAACCTCAAAATCAGACTTTTTACGACCGTTTAAACTTCGAAAAACGAAGCATAGCGTGTTCGGTAAGTACTTGAAATAAATGAGCCTAATTAACACAATGCAAATCGTACAAATATTAATAAAATGTTAGCCAACATGCGCCGGCGGCGGAGGCCGGATCAAACATACGAGCAAGCGAACAAACACCGCTGTTTGGACTATCGCCACTTTCGGTTCTGTACAAATAGGGACCGTTGTTTGTTCAAGTGCCAGTGACACGCCACTGCGGAGATCTTTGTCCAGCTTAACATTATCTCTAAGAACCCTTTAAGCCACTCTTCTACGGGTTATCTTATAACGAGCAGCAAGGGACGGGATGGGTCTATTTAAACTGGTGGCGGTTCAAAACAAGGCGACACCTTTCTCAGCCGTAGTGGGTAGGATTTACCTGTCAGAGGTTTTAACGAGCTAAGTAAGGGTTGACATAGGCTATAATTTACTCGAGGCGAAGTTCAACAAGAACGTTTACGAGGCTCCAAAAGCACGAGCCACAGTATTGGAAGTTGAAACAAGACTTCATTAAGCTTAAGAATAAGAAAAATACATTGATCAGCGATCGAGATCGTAAAATGAAAAATTATATTTAAAAAAGTTTAAAACAAAGAGTTTTTATGATAGTTTAACGAGTCTCAACTCTCAACGGCTTCGAATTACACTGTCATCTTGATTACAACCACTTTTTTGTTTACATCAGCGACTCGACAAGTCTGGTGTAAAATTACAATGTTATTGCATGTAGCGTTGCCCGTAGGTCAGATTACTTTTTTAATAACAAGAATACTTACCTTTGAATAATAAGAAGATTAAAAATGAATATAAAAACAGTCGTAGTCGTAGCAACACAAAAAGTTAGTGTCAGATGTCTAATTGCTCTTTTCGTGTGAATAATTTTCGATATTTACAATTTCGACACGCATAAAACAAACAGGTTTTTTGTTTATTAAATATTATTTGGCGGAGAGAATGTTTGCAAAATATTTCTTACAATTATACCTACACTGGTGCAAACAGGATTCTTGCACGTCCAAAGATAAAAATTTTGCGGAAAATTTCTTGAAAATTCGTTATTGTTAATTAAGTTTAAGACGTCTCTCACGACATGGCTTGAAGTAGTAAAAAGAACACATTGTTAAAATAAATATGAGTAGCCATTTTGAAACTTTACTCGCAAGCTTCAAGATAAAATTTACGAACCTACGTACGTACTTGTAATTAACTTATACTTGTAGATATTAGGTATACCTACCAATAGCTTATCATTTAATTTAATCTTTCTTGATTAGGTACCTAATCAATGTTTAATAGATAAGTGAAAAATATTCGTTAATGTAGGTACGATTTATAATCAATCATTGTTTTTGATTCTTTCCATCGGCCGTTTCTCTTACAAAAATAAATCCAAAACTTTAAACTCTAGACAGGCTGTCTACGTAAAATTTAAACGGAACACATGTTAACAGCTGTTGACATCATAAACACTAAACGAATACAAGAAGTAGGACATTCGATATCGCAAAATTATCTCTAAACTGATAATCAAACACGATCTAAATTTTACAAGCGATCTTGCCGTATCATAGTATACCTACGTTGTATAAACCTACTTACTTAAACTCGTATTTAGTTACGTAGGTTTTAATCTAGATAGTTCTTAATTCGTTTGTTATCGTTTCTCCTTCGTAAAGGCTCGTGTATTGACACACCTGCCCATTACAGCTGTACCTTATATTGTTTCTCGTTCTCTACCCATTGACTGTTTAATTATCTTAATTACTTTGCAAGCCACCATTGATCTTACTTAGTAAGTGGTCGAATGCTTTTTACTGGAATTTTCAATTATTTATTTTAAGTATCAACTGTTGCCATAATAGTAGATTTAGAACTGTCGTTTTATGACAAAAATGTCTTAATTGGACCGTGTTTGGCGTTTGTTACGACTACACAATTAAAACATTAATGTTACCTGCATGTAAAATCATGCAATATTCATTAATTACGCACTCTTTTTATTGTTTATTATTTTTATAATGTTATTGGTACTCAAAACCTGCGCCTGAGCAGTAGCGCATTCACACGTAGCTACTCGTAAGATCTAGATCAAACGTAATAGTGTGTAACATGACCTGTCGACTGGTTTACAGACGTGGCGCCATCTATGATCATTTAATAATAAGAAGATGTAATATTCTCTAGTCATTTTAATAATTTTTACTCTTTTATAGATCTTGTTAAGAACTTTATAGTTTCCGAATGTTGTTGTCCCTTGGTCCAGTTTACCATTAGATAGTTAAATGCATTTCTATGACATGGCTAGTTGAATAACCTACAAATGGGATTTTCTACACTTAAACAACTTCTTCCAAGAGTCCATATCTTGTAATTATATAGTTTATTATGCTTACTTTATTTACTAGCTTTTACATACGACTTTGTGCGGAATGTCTTGCATGTGTGTCTGTTTGTGCAAACTTGTGTTAGTTTTGAGAAAACCTCTTTTGGGAGGAAGGATCGCTCTAGGTTAGGCGAAAGGGGATTGTCATATTCTTACCTACTGACTAAAAACCACCTCGCTTCTTCTCCCACTCCTGACTTGGTATATTCGACAAAAACTTGGGAACCCTATTATGCCCACTTTTACTTACCCACGCTTTAGAAGACCCATTCAAAATCTTCCTACGTTAAGAATGTCTGTCAGTAACCAAGTATTGATAGATTTCTATTTCAATCGTATTGCCCAGGTTCTCCAGTCCAGACTTTGTACTCATGGGCGTCCTAACAGTATTTTTTGTGTTTTGCAGGTGGGTTGTGGTAGCAGGCGCCTGGCGAGCCAGCGTGTTACGCCCTCCAGCGCCAACGACAGCAGCTTCGCGCACCAACCGTCACTCGTCACTGCTGCAGCTGGCTGCGTGGGGAGTGCCTGCTGCGTTAGCTGCTGCAGTACTGGTCACTAGGGACGTGGACGCTGATGAGCTTACTGGTAAGAACTTCTTAATTTGTTATCTTTATAGAAGTGGATATTTCATGATAAATTCATTAGCTATACGATTTCCTACACCACTTTCTCATATCTTAGTAGGTACTGCTATTAACTTCCAATGTATGCTCTCATATGCAACAATTTTCTGTACAATAATTATATAATTATGTTTCCTATTCTTTCTTCGTTTATTACTAAGGTCGCCAACTCTTCAAAATGTCACTTGTCTCCCAATGACATCTACAAAGACGTTGATTATTATAATTGACAGCAGCTACAGTAATTAATTACACTCGATCCCCGTTAATATCAAATCAATTAGTCCGACCAGAGACTATTAGTAAACATCACATCGCTTCAAAAAGGTGGCATTTATATTGTGTATTTACATTAAAAACGAACGTTTGTCACATCGTTAATTCGTTACGATGAAGGAAAATAGAATTTTAATTTACGATTTACAATTCCGATATGCAAGCTACTTTTACACACCATCAGTGAAGTCCATCATATGTTTTTATAACACCTCGTTTCTTAGTAACTGGGTCTACCAACTATGGTAGTTGGGGACCGGTTCGATAGTTAGCGGGTGGATAGACCAAAGAACAAGCTGGTTTGTCGAGAGACAAGACAGAAGGTGGAATATTGAATTCATCAAAACTAAATGTCATTGTGTATGTAATGTGAATTCTTTTTGGAATTGTTTCTGCTAATTAGTACTTAGTAATGAACGTTTTAAAAGCTTTCATAGAAATACATTTCTCACTTATCCTCATCCAAATAAAGTTGCACAAATAGATACCTAATATCGTTTAAGTCAATCCTTCTGAACCAACGACAAACTCTGTGTAAAATGTCCATATCAAATAGGTATTCGATCACGAACAATTTTTCTCTTTGCGAAGACATCTCTAAATGGTCATGTTAGAAGTTCATTGCTACCAAAGGAGGTTGCACCATTAAACTTGATTCATCGTATTGGATTTTATTTATTAAAGAGCCTAATCAGATTGCAATTTAAAACTTATATTCATACAACCAATAATATATTTAACGTAATATATCGGTAGAAATGTATCAAAGCTTTAGTAAAAACGTAAAAATTTGAAAACATTGAGGTACATAAAATATGAAAGCAAAAATGAAGTTCCATTGTTCTTTCGTGAATCAATCAATAAGGTCCTAATACACTACCGTAGCGAAACAACACGAATGCAAGCAACGTTCCTGTTTTAATAGTCCTTTCTTGTTTGATCGGCGGCATTTTTCAAAGCGATTAAATCTGGTACGAGTGCTCGCGAGCACGTATTCATACTGTAATGGTATTGAGTAGTTTGTATGGAAGTACCGGCTTATTGTGATTTTGTTCGTGTGCTAAACAAGATTCTGACTCGGGTTGTGCCATTAGACGATATGTGGAACTTACTTACTATGACAATAAATTAATACGTTGATATTTTAAATCTAATGTGCTTATAAATAATTCGTACATATGTACAAAGAGAAAGAGGAAACATTAGATTAGCATTTCCAGAAGCCATGCCGTAAATTTGTGTAAATACAATTTTATATTTTTAATCTTTAAAAGAAACCGCTTCTTGCCCTATCTGACCCAGAGCGGGGATTTTTAGATACACAGTATCGCATCGGTATCAGTAAATCCCGAGATTTGTCAGTCGTCGGTCGAATCGTGCGATGCCGCTTTGGGCTACAATCGCACCGCTGTTACTTGGCGGCATTTAACATCTAACTAACATAGCAAAGGGACACACGTGTTCCTGCATTATTAGAAGGATCTTTACATAAGAGATAAAAAGTTGGTAGCTCCTCTAACGGTTATATTTAGAAAACCACAAGATACAGAAACGGTTGCTTTGAAAATAAATGTAAACATTGTAGCGGCGGCTTTAACATTAACATTATCAAAAAATCCTCTTATCATTTAAGCTAAGAACGATTAATTTAGACAGAGGGAAAGAACAATACAAAAATGCCGCGCCACAATGATAACGTTTACGTATGTACTTGGTAAGAAGTTTTTATCGTAATCGGGTGGTCGGCAATGCTTGGATCAGAGGCATCAGGGCCCTTTGCGGTTTTGATACAGAGATGCGGCGCCGACAAAGACTGTCCTCTTTGAAAGTAGTAAGATTACAACTGCTTACTCAATAACTTCTGTGGTAAAGGATACCGTCTTCACAAACAATCTTTCCGAATTTTGTTGTTTAGACACTGCTTAAGAACTATTCCATTCTGCTCAAATTTGGGGAGTAGTTTATCGTTCAAATTCATTCCGTTTATGGTAACATCATATCTGATTATTTTAATGTCCTGTTTATTCTTTCCCCACTGGAAATGACCCGAATGAAAAAGAACAATGAGCCAATCATTACTTATCTGGCTGAATAATGGGGACGTACACTTAAAAATATTTTACCGCCTGTATAAATAAACTTTTGGGCATAAATCACTCGACTTCGTCGGACACGTCGGCTGTAATAAATTCATGATTGGTAAAAACTGGAAGGTTTATTATATCATACTAATGGCCGCCTCTTTACGATCCTACTTGGAAACAAGACGATCGAATATTTATTTTAATCAGTTTTCGAGGATCTTCTTTTGGCACATCCACATTTTGTTTAACATCGTTTTACCTTTTTCTGTTCATCTCCGAAACTTTTACAAATGTGATGCTAGGTCTTTCTTCGGTCGCCTTCGGTGTGTCTCAACTAGTTTGTTATTTGCAAACACAATTTATTCGTCTTTCACCATTTAACCACGCGAGCGTCTATCTGATGAATGGTTTCCTCCGTTTGTCCCCTATCTGTTTATCTCGGCCTGTGGATATATTTTGAAATCGTCTTATATTTATTTTTATCGCCATTATGCGAAGTGCGAGCGAAGTGCCACGCGGCCCGATTCTCAGGCATATTGCAGTTTCAATCATGCCACGGGTATTGTGCTTTTATTTTTATTATTTCCATTCCACTTCCATTATGGCGGCCGAAAGAAATGCTCGACCATTATTCGAGCCGTTAAATACGACACCTTTCCTCCTCGCACGCTCGTATTTCAATTTTAAATCGGCCCTTTTAACCGCCTTATTAATGCAAGCCTTTTTTCTCGCCGTATGTTTGTGTAGGTGTTCGCTTTGAGAGCAGCCTTAGTGGAAATTGGAATGTTATTCACTTCTATAAAGAGCACTTGAGAAAAAGGACTCGGTATCCGCCGGCCACTACATCACTGATGTCGTAGACTAACTTTTTTTCTGTTTGTTACAGGAACGTGCTTCGTGGGTAACCAATCCAGTAAATCTTTATTAGCCTTGGTTATTATTCCCGAGGCTATCTGTTTGCTGCTCGGCTGCGTGTTCCTGTCTTCAGGCTTCCGTGCAGTACTCCGTCGACCTGCACCTGTGCCAGCTCCAGCTGTGTTGCTGAACTCACCGCCACAACCACATCAAGACCAAAGTGTCCTAAGACTAGGAGCGTTTGCTGCACTTTATGCCGTGCCTTCAGCATGCATACTTGCAACATGGGTATATGAATACGCATGGAGAGACGACTGGCTCGCTGCTCCAGTACCTTCATCAGAACCTTCAACACATCCTAAACCGGCGTTCTGGGTGTTCCTGTTCCGAATATTTGCCACCCAAATCCTTGGTGTCATGGTAGCTGTTTGGATCGCCACTCCAAGCTTAAAGGCTTTATGGAGGAGAATCACTGGGCCGAGGAAGCAGCCGCCGCTAGCGAAGTGCCCACCGGGTCCACCCCCCACTCCACTGACGTTGCACTGTTACGCGTCACACCCGCACACTCTGACAAGACATCCGCACAAATATGCAACATACAGACCACCTCAAACACACTCGTACAGAAAACCGAGGCACTACCATTACTCAGCCGGTGAAACAATTCTCTGACGATGATAAACCTTGTTCAATATGTGTTTGAATGTGTAGTTAAGTTCAAAAAATGGTTCAGAGACAATTTAGGAGCGATGAACCTTGTTGTTGCATTTAAAATTCCTAAGATGTGTGTTTGGGTGAACTAATATTCAAGTGCCATTAGTTTGAGACTAAGGTCAGAATGCGGCCTTATTACTAAATAATATTTATAACTGTAATTACGTTTAAATGTTTATTTATGATTTTATGAATGATGCCTAATAATAATGAAACAAAAGTGGTCTTTTGGCGTACCTACCTACGACTGAAATAGCCTCGCATTTCATAATATCTCGATCGTGTTATAAGTATTAGCAGAACCTTTAAATCTTATGTGTACACGATAATACTTAAAATGAACGTATTTATAGATGCCACTGCGAACTACAAAAAATTACTCTAATTATAATTATGTGCCTATTTAGACAAAGACGTAGGTAAAATAAATGATTGTGATGTGAAATTATAATAAATTCGTCCGAGTGATTGCGTTTGTAAATAATTTATGATAGAAAATGTAAATAAATAATTAAACGTAGAATAATTAAGTTGTAAATATGAATAGAAGAGAATAAGTATTATGAGAGAACATGTATTATTATAAACGAATAAAATGATGCCTATAAAAATTTGTAGCATTAAAAACTCTACATTACTTATTTGTGTCTTTTTGAATTGTATTGCAAATCAAACTTGCTGTTGTTTATGTTAAAAACGACCGTCGACTAGCAGCAATTGTTGTTAAATAATAGTACTGTGGACAAGAAAACTTTAGCACGAGTGCCCACCTCCTTATTGCCAAAATATTATAAGTTTAGCCTATACACCTAATTATGTAAATAATGACTGAACATATTTGTTTGTGAATATTACTTAAGTTCTATTTAAGTGACAATTGTAAGATAATAATAGATTATATCGCCTAATAAGTAGATTTACAAATAAATAAAATCAAAAATTATAAAAGTTGTTTTTCTTTACTAACAAGCCTTTAAAAACAATAAGTTTTCTTTAGCCAATAGCTATTCTACTACTCAAAAGTATCAACGGAGCGCCTACTGTGCGCTACTCACGTCATTAATTTGTGTATGTGGAATCGTATGTTTGTATAAGCACCCATGACACAGGAGAAAATACTAGCGTGGGGCAACGTGTCGTTTAAAAAAAATTTAATCCTAAGTACCTAATTTGAAGTTCTATAACCTAGTAGATAAAACTTTAAACTCTTGAAACTGATGTTTAGCAGTGACCTGGCGGTGGTGATTTTTTTGTTAGGAGGCGAAAATCTCTTGCCCAGGATGAGGCGAGAGACTGTCATACTCTTACTGACTAAAAAGTCCCCGTTCCTTCTCCTGCTTCAGGAAGCCGCGGTACCTTATTTTATTTTTCTAGCTAGCAACCGCAAACCGCAATTGGCTCTTTGAGGCGCGCGCGGAACGCTCTGGTTCTGGTCGGGCAGCAAGGTACTCTTGCTCGCCGTCCGCAACCAGCGATCGAGCTGGTTGCCGCGCGCCCCCTCAAATCCGGCGTCCACGCAGGGACCCCGTAGAGTGGCATGCATCGCACGATCTCTATATACAATCTCCGGCAGGAAGCGCAGGTTGGAAAGGAGCAGCTTGAGCTCGATCCCAGTCCGTTACATCTTAGGAGTCAAATATCGGAAATGGTCCGCAAAGTTCCATCGGCTGTCGAAGACGAGACCCAGGTACTTCATAGCTGACTCAACGCGGATGATAACCCCTCCTTTTTGTTTTTGTCAGGGAAAAATTATCAAATGACTTACCTCACCCAGGGTAAGGCGAGAGAGAGAGTGTCAGACTCTTACTGACTAAAAACACCCCGTTCCTTCTCCTGCTCTAGGCCGAGGCCGCGGTGACTCATTGCGCTAAACCCGCAACCCCGGCTGATGATAACTCCTCCTACAGTTACCTATTTGGGACTCATCGGGAGGCGAGAAGAGAGGAGAGGCTATAAAGGCACATGGCCGCGGAACGGTGGTGATCATATGACTTAATTCACGGCAAACGATCATACCTATTACCTGATGGTAAGCAATCAACGCCGCCTATGTTTAACCTTTGTTACGAATACGTTGTAGATCTTTTGGAGATTTATTAGCGAAGGGGAAGGTTTAGGCCTCCGGTCACCTCACCCACACGGCGAAACACAACGCTGTAATTGTTTCGCGCCGGTTTTCTTTGAAGTCTAGGTATAACTCCGGTCGAGCTGACCTATTTGTGCCGAAGCAAGGCTCTCCCATATCCCATATAGTTCAAATGCCAATGGAAGAAAAATTACAGACAAAAGACATTTCTAAAATTCTTACACATGTAGCCAAAGACTACAATGTTATATAGGGGTATGTAGGTAAGTGCATGTAGCTGTCGAGAACTTGACGAGATTCTCAACCGATTGGCTAGTCAAAAACATGTCGATCACATCCGCACCTACCGCAAAAACATTTCAAATACCTACCTAATAGTCCTTTGGTTCAACAGTACTACGACGATACTATATGTATGCTGGAAAATTTTATTTAATCCGGATACAAACACTATCTAGACATCCTCATGTATAATGATCGGATTTAACAAGCAGATACTTAAATAAAAAAAGTAGTTGCAGCGAAATCTTCCTATAGGAAGTTAAGACTTGGGTATCTACTACAAGAGGAATAGAGGACTCCATTTTTCGCTTTGCTATTATTAATTAGTGTAGCCAGTTTCCTCACTCATGTTCACACTCGTTCATATTTTTAATTTATAAGATTATCTAAGCTATTTTACAGCAAAGGTTTGGCAAATGAGAAGACAGTTCATCTGATGGTAAGTACATAGGTAAGTAATTGACACCGCCTTTGGACATTCTCAAAACCAATGTAGTTTTAAGTTAGCCTGCTGTTTGTCCGTTTTAAAGAACTAGCTTTTGCCCGCGACTCCATTCGTGTGTAGTAGTGACTTCCTGCAGATTTTTGGTATAAAAACTATCCTATGTCCTTTCCAGACTTCCAAACGATGTCTGTAGGTACCTTTCACAGAAATCGGTTCAGTGGTGTCACGTAGGCGTGAAGAAAAGACAGACAGACAGAGTAACTTTCCCATTTATAATATTAGTTTGTATTTGGATTTAAAGTAGTGGCCTTCTGTTGCTGTTAAATTAATATTTTTAATGTGAGATAAGATATAATTTTAGTAAATGTGCAATAATTGCCAATCTTTTTTGCGGTGTGAATATTTTTAAGCTAGCATCCCTAATTTGACAATTTGTGAAGCGCGTTCCATCCCTTATAATGACACTTGATGAAATATGAAGTCAAGCATTATCTTTTATTTCAATTCACTCGTTGAATATTAAGATTGTATCTTTCGTCCAAGTAGGCTTATAATTGTATAAAATTCTTTAATCTGTACTTTGTTTTGCTTCGAGACCAAGTCAAAATTGCTGGCTTTATTTTTGGAGAACGGTCTTATTGTTTGATATTTGTATGTGACATTGAATTAACATTTATATTTTACGATGTCATCTTTTACTCAGATTTGTCGGTTGAGTAATTTCTTTGTAGGAAACTATAAATGTGTTATAACTGGAAGGTAAGATTGAGGTTATGACGCCAGTTCATTGTTTATTTTAGTAATCTATGACTATCTTATGCCTTTGGATTACTTATGGGTAACCATCTAGACTGTTTCCAGGTGTTTTTTACATATAATTATATAAATAAGCCTTGAAAAAAATCCGTTCTCACAGATATTAACTTTGAATTACAGGGCAAACTGGTTGACCCCCGTCCAAGCATGCAACTATACGAGGAAATCGGCAGAGGAAAAGTTGGGGTTAGATAAGCCAAAACGGCCCCTGACCCCATTCTTTAAATTCATGACACAGATGAGGCCAGCACTGCTAGCTAAAAACCCAGGCATTTCCTCTAAAGAAGCTATTTCCTGGACATCAAAACATTGGCAGCAGTTAGATCTAGAGGTAGACTAAATGCTGGCAAAAACAAAAATCTAAATATTTAAGAAATACATATGGAAACTATTAAGTAATGTTATTTATTTTTCAGACAAAAAATCAAATGGCCAAGGAATATGAAAAAGACCTAGAAGATTATAAGAAAATCAAAGCAATGTATGAATCTTCGCTCACAGATCAACAAAAAGAAGACATAAAAAGGCTCAAAGAAGAAATGGCTGAGGCTAGAGAAAAAAGAAAATTAAGAGCTGTAAGTAATAGAAACTATAGTTTATATCATTTATCCACCTTTAAAATTTGTCCACCAAATGATTGTGGATGACTGCAAGAAATCCATGTTATTAATAAATAGTGGTGAATATTACCTATCAACTTAAACTTCTAACAATCTAAAAAGTATCTTAATTACATTTCAGGAATATAAAGAGCTTGGACGTCCAAAAAAGCCAATGTCTTCCTATTTCTTATACATTCAATCTAGAAAAGACAATTTTAAAGGCAAAGATATAAAACAATACCAAGAACAAGTTAAAAAAGAATGGTTGAAATTAACTGATGCTGAAAAAGCTAAATTTGAAAAACAGGCTGCTGACCTAATGGCTAAGTACAAGTAAGTTTTCTACTTTTATTATTATTTTAAAAAATATTATAATATTTGAATTGCTACTCACCCAATAAACCAGTTATATTCTGCTATCACCTTCGCATATTACTAAATTATAAAAAAATATTATGGACTATAATAATATAAAATGGAAAAGCAATCTATCAAGTAAACTCTAATAAAATTCTATTTCTATAATGATAAATCTATTTACATTTAACATTTTCTGTACTTTCACCTAATTATGCTGATTGATTTATGTTTCGTATTCCAGGAAAGATTTAGAAGCTTGGGAAATTAAAATGATATCAATGGGTCGGGCTGATCTTGTCCGTAGCAAGCCCTTGCGGGAGAAGAAGCCAAAGGCTGAAGTGAAAAAACAATAGGAACTCGGGTGCTCCGACGAAACAGCTGACTCTCCACAAAGTAGTAATAAGGATAATATTGTACAAAGTATTGATAAGAGTACATCCACTAGTCCTGACGTGTCAAATACAAATAAAGAAAACATAGTTCCTCATAGTGTTTCTGTTACTTCAGAGTCAAGTCGTCGGAGCACGGGTGATACAATGCCTCCATTAAAAAATGACCAACCTAAAGAAAGTAAGAATATCTTCAGTAGTATTAAAAACTTCTTTAATCGTTAAGATTAGTTTCGTAAATCTTCATCATGCATTTGTTGTATGTTTTATTTTAGTTTTCAGTTGTAGTAGATTCATATTAGAATACACTTACTATATTATATATTTACTTTTTTATTTTCGTTTCCCTATTTCATACTTGTAGTAGTTCAGTGACATGAATTCAATTTCAGGTCATATTTTATGCCCCAGTTGTTTGTTACAACACGAACACTTGCTAGCACAGTATGTTCGTTAAAAGACAAGTTTTTTTACTGAAACATAATCAAATATCATTTCTTGAAGTATACACAAAGCATTTGGTGGAAAATCAAGGAAACAAAAACACAAAATACCATTCATAACCGTTTTTTATTTCAAAGATGTTACAAAATATAATTAAAATAAACTTTTATCATTTCATTTTATAGTTGTATGACCTTATTTACAATATGAATTAAGCTGATACACTAAATTATTCATCAGAACAGAATTACATGTTAAAGCATTATTCTCATGCATAAAGTATCACATTTTTGTATTTTATTTAATACAAGAGTGAATTATTTTGAATAACAATGTCATGCGGTATTCACAAAGGTAACTATGAAGGAAGACATCAAGAAAACAATTGAGTTTAAAGTGGCTATTCACAAAAATATTGTTCATATCAGTCTACCATGTACAGCAAAGGCAATATATTTACAGCAAGTTGATAACTCAACATATTTTTTAAATAATAACAGTATGGCGCAAAATTACATAGCTTTTAGTTTGGATCTTTGGTATTACCATACCAGCTTAATTCTGAATTGTAGAGATTTACCTATTCCTTTACCAAAGAGTTTTTATTATTAATTAAATGTAATGGGACAATTTGGGACATTAGGTTTTATCAAGTAGGTACCTAATCTGTTGTTGAGGTTCAATACATCAGGTATATATTATTGGATAAGTTGGAGCAGCATGTTTGTATTTCGTTAGTAAATTGTTACATCACAATACACATTTAAAAAGATTAAGGCAGTGTTAAGATATAAAAGGTTAAAATTATTTAACAAAAACCAATTAAATATAAATAAAAACAAAATTATCTACAAAAATAATTTACAAGTCACAGACTGCCATAGTTGTATGTGGTAAGTATAGTTTTAATTTAACAACATTAGATACAGTATCAAATTTCAAGATTATAAAATATGTCCAGGCCATAATATTGGTTATGCAGGCCATTATATAATTCATAAGGACTAAATTCCTTTATCAAAATATCATATCATTACAAGTATAAAGCATGAAAATAGTTTACTAATTTGGCATACTATTGAATATAATTTGTATTGTTTGATATCCATAAGTATTTTATATTTGTAACTCTCTCAAGTCTGAAATAAATACAATTTAAATGCAAAAATTAATATTAAATAGTGGTGTTACATAATAACTGTGATCTACACAAATGAAGTGCAATTAGCAATAATTAAATTACATGAATATAACTAAATTTCTGTTGATACTGCTATATACAAAATTGAATCTAATTTAAAACTAAAAATGGCAATATGTGACTAAAACGCACACATGTCACAACTTCTCACTTATGTAAAAAGGCACAAGCAATCAAAACTATGGAACATTATGGGCACCTTCAAAATTCAACATTAGTGGAACACCTGCATTGAATTTTGAACCTTACCCCAGTTTAAACTAGCCTGCTATTGTTAAGTTACTGCTCAGTCAATGTAATGCCCTCAACATGGGTGCAAATGAAGTAATTACTATGTAATTAATCCATCCCTCAAGGTAATGAGTAATGATTGTATGCAAATTGTAGTAAACAGATACACACAAATGTCACATGATATTACACCCATACATTGGGTCAAATAAATAACTTTCTTTACTCGAGGTGAAGACACAACATGTAAAAGTTGCAAGGCATTGGCAAGTTTAGAATTACTTTGTGACGGAAACCATATTAATTTAGTTATGACATAAATTAGCACTGGTAAGAAAAAGTAGGTACCATCAAATGCAACCAATGACAAACTGTACAGTAATTGAATTAAAAGTGATAACAAAACTATATCGTATCTGTAATTAGTGAGTTTCTCCCAGTGTGATGGTGTTGGCCCTGGCTCTGGTGCCGGTGATATAAAAGATGCCAAATCACTGGGTACCTCTCCATCGCCTGCCGCGACGTCATGATTGAGCGATGTTAACAACTCAAATGAATCAGGTTCTGAGACAATCACACCATTATTAAGGGACGTCTTGCTGCTGCTATTGTCTGCAGAATGTGAAATCTCGTGAATTGGATCAGGAATTGTATTTCTGACTGGAGATTCTGAAAAGGAAACAATGTGATAAGCAAAGTCAAGCTGAAAATGATAAAATATGCCCTCGACGTCTAATGTTATGTATACCTCTAGGATGCTCGTCGCCACATTTTCCAGATATTAGTTGGAGTCTATTGTGAGAATTTTCTAATATTCTTCTTCTACGAGCTTCGCGACGAGCTGCTGCAGCATCAGCCATGTTGACATTAATCAAGTGACATTTAATTTGACACTGCCACTCACTGGCACTGGCATAGAGTAAGTACCTAAACCTTTTTTTTTGGAGTTTATGGCCTGGAACTATACCTAAACCTTGGCACTGGTAGGAAATTGCCAGTTTGTGCAGAAATATTTATTTTCCAACAGGAATCTAGTCAGTTAGAAGTCACAAATATTGATAATACTACTTATCTACAGTCCAAAAATGAATTGCAAAATTTTAATAGAGCGAAACTCGAGAAATTTTAACATCTTCAATGACGTTAGCTAAGAAAACACCACCGAGGTAGTTGGAAACCCGTATGATTCATGTGTACGGGCCACTATTTGTAGTTCATAATAAATTCTTTTTAATCAATAAAGTGTTAGGAAGTGTGTGTGATTTACAACAGCATTTTATGCAACCAATTAATCACCTTAACGAGAATCCTATCCAATGATATTAAAAAAGAAAATGACAATGTTGAAAAACCGGAAATAAATATATTTTTCTCCCAAACATTCCCAAATTCAAAAACCATCTCACTATTTCAGATATTTATATTTTTCGATGACTAATTCCGTTTCTAGTTCCTAGATTTATTATAAAAACCGATTAAAAAACGTTAATTCTATCGCCATTTTTGTAAACATTATTATTTGGCAACCGGAAGTTTGTGTGTTGTCTGTTAGCAGTAACGCCAAGGACTTTTGTTTGGCGCCTTTACGGGCCGGTCTGGTTTTACTGATAAATTAGTGAATTCCTCTCAAACAAACAAAAGCTACAGTTAAATATAATGGGCGACAAAGGAGATGGAGGTAATTGCTTTTGAAACTGTTGTTGTATTCGATGGTGCTGATGTTCTTTGCTGACGCTTGACAGCCAATGATTTTTTGGTTATCAAAAAAGACTTCGTAAAGAATCTGTAAATTTCGTTATAGAAACCTTTGATGATGCGGTTGAGGAGAGGGTTATCAATGAAGAGTATAAAATATGGAAGAAGAACACTCCATTTTTGTATGATCTGGTGATGACACACGCTCTGGAGTGGCCCTCGCTAACTGCCCAGTGGCTACCTGACGTGACCCGGCCTGAAGGAAAGGATTATTCGGTGCACAGGTAAGGAATCTTTATCATTATCTTGGCCATACATTGTAGTGTTGACAGGTAAAGGGGCTTGTTGACACCTCATCTTGAGGAAAATCAAGTTATAACTACCCTTGAATACCATTACATTTAGCAGATTCCGGTTTAAATCCTTTTATTGTCATGAAATTGAATGTAAGACAAAAGACTTCCTTTTAAGGAACTTCTTATGTCATTTTTTGATAATAATACTTTATTGCTCTCTTCTCAGAGAGCAGATGTGTCTATTGTGTAGAGTAAATATTATTATTAGTCCAAGACTGGACTCCCAATAGGCCAAATGACAATAAATTTTAATAAGAAGTTACCTCTTCTCTTGATATTGAAACAAAGGGAATAAGGTCTGTAACAACTATAAATACCTCCTATATTCTAGCACCATCAACTTTTTCAACTATTGTGATTCAGTTCTCATTGGTGCTGAGTTTGAGATTACTCTTATTCAGTATATACTACAGTTGGAACTTATTTAGCTACTTGAAAATATGAATGTAATGAATAAAACATAGTTTATGTTAGATTCTCATGTCTATATTAAAAACCTGTAGTGACCAATGCCTGTTGGAACACCGTCATATAAGTTTTTGATGAAACATATGTGACACACATCATTCATAAATACATGCTCAAATGCTTCAAATGCTGAAATAAGACTCAACTGTCATTATATGATTATGAATTAAAATTCATTAGGATCTGCATTCCAATATTCCACAGGTTAAATGAAGTTTTTGATTCTTAAAAGCCTCCTAACGTTGAAAATTATGGAAAGCTATCTTATGTATAAGCTTATAGAGTCCACCAATTAGTAATACTGGCACTTCATAATAACAATGATGAAGGTGATGTTAACTAAATTTGTTTTTCTATGAACAGATTAATCTTGGGTACCCACACATCGGATGAACAGAACCATCTACTGATTGCAAGTGTACAGCTTCCTAATGAAGATGCACAGTTTGATGCGAGCCACTATGACAATGATAAAGGTGGTAAGTAGAATCTCAAGTGTTTTAAGTATGAGAAGTTCTTTTTCGACCTATGTTTAAGTTCTAAGAGCACATTGTTTTATTTCCATTTCTGAGCTTTGTCATGCACATTCATGGCATGATGGATTCTTAATTTTCTAATAAGCATTGTTTCAAATACAACTAAACAAAACTGCCAACTGACAAATTCAGAACTAGTCAAAGTTTTGTTCTTTTTAAAAACATTGAAATTTTACTAAAATAGTAAAGTGTAAATAACTTTTAAGAAGTTAAATAACTTTTAAGAAACCTGAGTTATAATATTTGTTCCAGAATTTGGAGGCTTTGGATCAGTGTCAGGTAAAATTGACATTGAGATCAAAATCAACCATGAGGGTGAAGTGAACAGGGCTCGCTACATGCCACAGAATCCCTGTGTGATTGCCACCAAGACTCCTTCCTCTGATGTGTTGGTCTTTGACTACACTAAGCATCCATCAAAACCTGAGCCTTCTGGAGAATGCCATCCTGACCTCAGGTATGTAGCATTCTATGGAGTGCTGTATTATTTAGACAATAGTTTTTTATGAAAAATCAATGCAATTTCTCCTCAAATAATGTCATAGTAAAATTTTAAAGTTATAGTTAACTTGTATAATGTATGTATGTACTTAATCTTAGCATACATAATATCAATTAATCTAGCCATGCTAGAGGCCCATATTCATGAGCAGTATTCCGCGACATGCGACTCGGCGACTGTTGCGCTGCTACTGAATGCTGCTCATGATTATGGGCCTCTAGCATAGTTTGAAACTAGTCGAGTATCTCGTCAAATTATTACGCAAGTAAGCCGAAAACATAATAATTAATTTAGTATGTCTCACGAAAGTTATAATAAATATTAATTTGTGTAACTTACAAGAGAATGCCTAATGCCAGTTTGGATTATGTAAAAGAGATTACCTTGTGATCATGATGTTTTGTATCCTGATTAGTCTGCAACTTCTGCAAGTTAACTTACCAAGATGAGGGCTAAATGTGATAATGTAAAACTAACTCTCACTGGGGCTGTAGTGACAAAACTGAATTAATTATGACATAGTTAGGTGACACTTCTACTCCTTTATAAATATTAATTCATCTTTCAGATTACGTGGGCATCAAAAAGAAGGCTATGGTTTATCTTGGAATCCAAACCTTAATGGTTACCTGCTGTCTGCAAGGTTAGTGTCACCAGGATTAAGGAGTCATTGCAGCTTCAACTTTTACTTATGCAATAAGTCTCAGATTTTAGTTTTTTAGGGTCAGTTCACATTGAGATGCAACACTCGGCGCACACTTTACGCCAGCGGCAGCGCCCAAAAACTAACTTTATTATCATACAACAAGATACACAATTGGTCTCTTACTGTGAATTGAACCTTAAGCAACTTCATTGAAAACAAAGGTTCTTTTTGATTTGAAAATAAAATTTATTTATATTTTCATACCAAGAAAGTAATAAAAAATGGTTTATTATTTGGAAACAGACTCAGAATTTCATAACTGGTACTAAAAAAATATTCTAACTGGTGAAATGTTATAGTTTCTTACTTTTTAATACAAGAGACATTTTTGCACACTACAATCTAAGCGCAATGTATCAACTAAAACTGTACTTAATAAGATATTTATTTGAACAGTGATGACCATACAATATGTCTGTGGGACATAAACGCGACGCCTAAGGAAGGTCGCGTCATTGAAGCTAAGTCGGTGTTCACTGGACACACGGCCGTGGTTGAGGATGTCGCCTGGCATCTCCTGCACGAATCACTGTTCGGCTCTGTGGCGGATGATCAGAAACTCATGATTTGGGATACAAGGTAAAGATCTTTATTTGTTTTTAAATGTTCTAATACAATAGAGATAATATAAATATATATGTTATTATTTTTCACTATGGAAATAACATTTCTCTTTCTTTATTTGTTATTCGACATTTCAAATATTTAATGTTTTGTGTATCTTTTACAGATGTAACAACACATCAAAGCCCTCTCACACAGTAGACGCGCATACAGCTGAAGTCAATTGTCTCAGCTTCAATCCCTACTCTGAATTCATTCTAGCTACAGGCAGTGCTGATAAAACGGTAATTATAAGCTTTCTTTTATATTTTTTTCCATTCTTGTTCCTCTTCATTCACCAGTTAGCAATTATTTCATTATATATTTAGGTTTGCATAAAATTTGGTGATATTAACTCAATGATAATTTGAGATTCATACCAATCTCTTAGCTTTGCTATGCCTCGTACTAAAGGCAGATTAGAAGGAGATTTGAAAATTATGACTTAACATAATCTCTATGTTTCCACCCAATGTTTTTATTTACATACATATAATTTCGAAAAAGCTATATTAATACTTGCCAATGGGCGCCTTAACCATGACGACTATTCTCTCATGCACTTCTACTTGTTTCGCATTAACGTGTAGATTCAAGTTTGCTTTTAAAACTAATGTTTATGACACCTAAATTATCCTACCAAATACATAAGTATATTACATTGTAAAGGTGGCGCTATGGGACCTCCGGAACCTGAAGCTGAAGCTGCACTCATTCGAGTCACACAAGGACGAGATCTTCCAAGTGCAATGGTCGCCGCATAACGAGACTATCCTTGCCAGCAGTGGTACTGACAGAAGGTAATACACTAAACATACTGTATAATTTAGAACTAACACCTAATAACACCAATTGTCGCACATATTCATACAACTTTTCCTATGTTAAATATGACAAGTTTACATGAGAGTAAAAAAGACAGGAGGAAAAAATCTTTCATGGGGCCAAAACGTTTTTTATCAAATGTTTCCTAAACTGTCGTGTGGACTTTTTTTTTCGGTCCTTAGAACAAATTGCAATATAAACGACGCAATACTTGATTCTATTCCAGCCAATGCCTATTATTTTGATCATAAATCTTTATTAATGATGTATGTATGTATTATATAATGTTGTAAATATTGTTATGGGTTTAATTAGTTTGCCAAGAATGTTACAATTTTATGTAAGTAGGAATTCATTTTCATCCGGGTGAAAGCTCAGTTTATCTTACCACTGATAGCCAATATTTAGATACCATAGCAATAAGTATTTCGTGGGTGCCAAACTGAAATTTGATAAGTAAGGAAATTGTTGCAGGCTTCACGTGTGGGATCTGTCGAAGATAGGCGAGGAGCAGACAACCGAGGATGCCGAGGATGGTCCTCCTGAGTTACTGTTCATCCATGGTGGACATACAGCTAAGATATCAGACTTCTCATGGAACCCCAACGAACCGTGGGTTATCTGCTCTGTGTCTGAAGACAATATTATGCAGGTTTGTTGTTACATCCATTAAATAACGATAGTTTTTTTTTTGAGGTAGTAAAATCATAGTTCACTTTAGTTCCAACTAGCTTTTGGCCGCGACTTTGTTCGCGTGGAATAGTGACTTCCTGCAGATTGTTGGTTTAAAAACTATCCTATGTCCTTTCTCGAGTTCCAAACTATGAATGTCTGTACCAAATTTCACACTAGTAGATTCAGTAGTTTAGGCGTGAAGAAAAGACAGACAGACAGAGTTACTTTCGCATTTATAATATTAGTTTGGATTGCATTATTATAATACTGTATAACCGTTATAAATTGCGAATGACCACTGTCCATTTAGTATTAGCATCGTTTTTTAACAACGTAATACATTTATAATTTATATTTAATTAATTCTGATATATTTGCACAGGTATGGCAGATGGCTGAGAATATCTACAATGATGAGGAACCCGAGACGCCCGCGTCGGAGCTGGAATCTGGAGTGAACGTGAACCACGGCTAGCTCTGCGCAAGTGTAGCCGGATTCCACCATACGAGCCTCGCTCCACTGTATGACTCTATGTACGTAACTGTGACAACTACACAAATACAGTACGCGTTAATACTCCACTCTCCATCAGGCTACATTAAAGTTTATCTTTTTACCCTCTCCCCAATAATGTTAGTGATTATTCATATCTCATTTCCTCTGTGAAATCGCCTACAATTCCAACGCCAGAACCACTTAACGCGTACTGTACTGTCACACGGGCTCTATAACAAGTTTCAGTTTAAAATATGGAAATTATATGTAGAGCTCTTTCATAATAATAAATTCGTTCTTAAAGTTTATACAGTGTGTCGAATTTGTTTCCAAATACACTCAGTTAGGCCAAAAATAAATTAATGTGTAAATTAGGCAAATTGGTTCTTAAATTTTATTTTGTTCTCGGCTTTCCGCCACGCTGCTTTGTGATTTTTCAACAAATTGTCAAGTTACTTTGTGTAATTTTGTGATGAAGGCAACAGATCAGAATTAAATGTGGTTAGGTAGTGATTGGTGTTGTTTCGCGGCATTGTTGTTGTTCCTTGTTTTGGGCAAAAGTGTTGAAAGTATCAAAGTATATGTTTAATATCATAATTAAATTTGTGAAAATAAAAGTTAATTGCTTCGTAAAGTTAGCCAGCAAGTTCCAAGTACACGTCAATCCCCACCTCTACTCTGAAATTAATCACCAATGAAAGAGCTCTAAAACAGTAATTTGAGTCTTATGTCGGTAAACTATAGATGTAAAAATTATTGATATGGTCAACAAGTACATAACTTGTACGATATTAGATTTTAAGAAAAAAAAAAACATACTGCAATCATAATTTGCAGTGAATTTGTTATTGATTGATTGTGAATTAAATTTAAATATTTTTGCATAATCTGAAAATTATTTTTGAGTCCATGTTTTGTACTTTATTATGCAGTTTAGTTGCTCATGTAGTTTGATATAGTCCACTGGTAGGAGCAATTTGTATGAAAATAAATTCCTTTATATGCTAATGTCCCATGAAAGTGAAAAATGTTTTTGGGTGCTTAAGTTTATCAGAATATCTCAGAAAAGCAAACATTTTTGTGTCCAGAATTGGATCTCCTTAAGATCTCCCTAATCACATAGGACAATGAAAGGGAGCTTAACATTAATATCAATATTTCAAGCTGATAATAAGCTTTAAAACTTCATTTTGTGAATGTTTCTACCCTTGGACTATTCAAAGTGGAAAGGGTCCAATTAGTTGTGGTCTGTACGCACTCGAATCTCCCAGACAATGTCAGTTTAATGAATTAAAAATAATATTTTTGTATAAGTGGAATATTCTATTTTATTTTTTCTAAAGTAATTGTGTGTATGGACCACAGACAAACGTGCGAGAAACAGTACCCACAGCATAGAGACACCTCGCTAGCCGACACTGGTTAATTCCATTTTAATTTATTGTTTCTTATCCGATAAGTCAAAGGATGTGTTTCTGTTGTAACTGTCATTATTATTATATTAAGGGCCTCTTTCACACAAGTATTCCGTAATTCATAATCTATGATAAAATAAATTCAATACAAGAATAGATACACCTGTAGCAAGTAGCATTTGATAGCTTAGCTGTTACAGCTGTATGTAATACGTAAACATTTCAGTACCAATAGATGACATGCTGAGCTATCGAATTGTAGTATTCTGTTGTAATATGCATGCTCAATGTTTAGTGTACCGAGTATACATCGTACTAGCACAAAGTGAAAGATGCTCTTACTCTGGTGACGCGACTGACCGATGCTATTTTATAATGTTAATGCAGTAATGGAATAATTTTTAAGCTCTGCTAATTAATTACCTATTATGATTAAAAGTATCGTAATAATCGTTTTTGTTTTTATACACCTACAATAACAGTTCTATTAATAAAATACCTCTACTGAGTAAATAACTACTCAATGCGTCCATGTCACGTTTTCCCCTGTGCTATTCCGCGAGTGAATACTGTCTGGATATAAGGTGGGCCCGACCCTGCGTGTCGTCGGCGATGTAAACACCGCGCCCCGTGCGTCACATTAATGTGATTGTTTTGTGACAGGGAGTGACCACAACGCGCCGCTAATTTAGTTAACTTCCATCACTCGCGCTGACACCATGAAACTTTGGTTTATAGTGTTTTTTCTCGTGACTTCTACAGTTTCTGGGCGCACCCATGGTCACAGTTCTAGGCATGGAGGCTCGCATAGCTATCCTCACAGTACTGGTTATTCAGGATACGGCAGTGGTGGTTCTCACACGTACCCTCACTCGACAGGATTATCGGGTAACTCAAATAGCGGAAATGTGAGACAGACCTACACCCAACAGCATACCGTGAACCACAACTCTTACAGTGCACGCACTGAAGTTCACCACCACTACCACTACAGCCCGCCGCAGCAGATAAGCTACGGGTCTACCTATCACCCGGTGTATCAAGGCCACCCTCCTATCTACGTGTACGAGTATCGAGACTCCGGTAGCAGATTCGACAACTTGCTGACTGGACTGGCGCTGTATAATTTGGGACGCAGCAGTCAAATGCACCACCACTACGAAGCTGACAGACAGTATAGTGGAAGCCCAGGAGAGATATGCAAGCTGGGCATCAGTAAACAAACTGGTGAGTACGAGGAAACTCGGATCAACTGTAATTTAATATCGAGCTTTATTCTGGAGGACGCGTCGAGCTCATCGTGGAATAACCAACAGCAACAACATATCGTGAAGAATACAACTCAAGTGACACAAACTGTGAACGGCACGGGAAATTCTTCAGTCACTACAGTGACTGTAACCAGCAATACGGTTGAGGATGCCTTGAAAGTGAAAGGCCCCTCAATAGCAGTCACCCCAGGCATGACTTGCTATATGATCAGGATCTTCAGGGACACAACTTCTTTCCGGAAACCCGTGGATTGTGGACTTTTGCAAGAATATGCGAGAAGTTCTTTACATCGTAATAGTGAATTACGATTGGAGCCATGTATTGTAACACTACTATTCAATTTTTTGATAGCTTATTTAGTGCGATGTAACTAAAGAAGCGCTAAATTTTTATTGAAACTTTCGACTAATGTTATGAGGATTTAACAAGCACATCTCTCGCGGCTTATTCATATATGTTTTTATATTCTTCCTATTGAGTGACTGAATAAGTTGTTGTTGTAGATGCCAATGTTAAACACTTACTGAATAAAGCTATCTCCAAGTGTGAGATTTTTGGAATAACTTATAATCAAAACAAGAAATACAAAAATGTTAAAAATAATTAATTCAATCTAAACACGTGATAATTTGCAAACGTTGACATTGTCGCGTCTCCAATGAGGACAAAAAGTTGATATAATAAAAATGTTTGTATGCTAGCGACATTTGATAGAGTTGACCGATTTAATTGAACTTTAGCGTCACTGTGTTGTCTGTGTCTGGAACGACAAAGGTGAAACTGTTGACCTTTCAATAAAGTGCTGTATTTTTATACATGCTCATATGACATATTATTAGACATTAACTTTAACATATCTACTTGGCAAAAATTAACAATGCAAAGAGAAAGAACGGGGTGCTTTAGTCGGTAAGGGATCTGATCAACCAACATTGAGCAAGCGTGGTGAATAATGCTCTAAGCTTCTCCGTGTGAGAAGAGGCCTTTGCTCAGCAGTGGGCACTTATAGGCTGATGGTGATGTAGGGACTGACACTCACTCTCGCCCGCTCCTTAACTAGGGCGAGAGAAGATATTTAATGATTTTTTCCTTTAAAAAAAGGTATGGAGGTTGGACGGAGTACGTACGTGTCTTCTTATATCCTTTTAGAAACAGAATAGCTACCAAGTATCTAATGAGATACTGCTTGCTAGTGTTCGGAGGTAGTTTTTACATTTTTACCCTGTTCTTGTCTAGTGTAGGTAAGTACCTAATGTTGCATTCCGTACTAGACCAGAAAAATAAAATTTAAAAACGTTAAATAAGTACACAATATTTTATTTAAAACATTATTATCTAATATGTAACTTCGATAACATACACTATGATAACATAACTAAAAGAATACCTATCAGAAAAAAAGGTTACACTGAAAATAAGTACCTATACAAGTTATAATATTGCCTATACTAAATATCATAACTAAACAATTATTACACGTTAATTTTTTCAGAGAAGAGTTTTGGTAGGTTTTGCCAGCATTCATAGTATTTTGCGTCTAATTTCTGACAAGTCTCAGCGCCCCATTTCGTGATAGCTAAACTTAGTGAAGACTCGAACATGAATGCCTGTAAAAAAAGATTCGCATTAAAATAATTATGTTGTTTATGAGTAGATGTGATTTGATGAACAGACCGCCGATCATACTTAGGTATGTAATGCCACTGTGTATGTTTCTACTTTGAGTAACAATAAATAATTAAAAAAGTAAGTAGGTAAGTAGATACGTAAAGAATCCATTGTCAAAAAATCCAGAGCCAGTTTCTTTTAAATACATCACCAAAATGTATTTGGTCAACATGGCATTTAGTAACCACACGGTTTTATACTTATTTTCCTTTTATAAATACAGTTCATAGGTACCTGAGTATTAACAGCAATTTTCTGTGGCACGAGTTCTCCGTTTGATGCCGCGTCGAAGCACTTGTTGTCCGGGCCATGAGGTGTCATCATTGAATGTAGGGATGCGCCTCCGGGTAAGAATCCACCCTCCTTCGCTTCGTATGAGCCGAGTATCAGGCCCATGAATTCACTCATACAGTTCCCTAAATCATACAGTCATATTTACTTTTACATACAAAAATATACTCAAACGGTAAAAATATGTTATAATGTATCACATTTACTTGTAAGTTATATATAAATTGTAATTACAAAAAATTGCTAAAAATGTTAAAAATAAAACAAACTTTCAGCATTTTCTATTTCTAAATATAGCGAAAAATTTAAAGATAAAAAAATTAAATGTGCAAAAATAAATTTCGCTGAGGACAGGATTCGAACCTGCGCGGGTAAAACCCATTGGATTTCAAGTCCAACTCCTTAACCACTCGGACACCTCAGCTACGACATTGTAAGGCGAAATTATAGATTGTAATAGTAAGCCGTAAAACTATTCTTTTATAAAGTGAACAATGCATCGTAATGAACAGCAGACGTTGTGTACAGAACCATTTCCAATAAAGCCCATTCAATTAATGAGATATTTGTAAGTAAACACCGTGTTTAGTCAGAAACTAAAACTGACATTTTTCTTGTGGGTTTAAGGCATTTAGGTGGTTAACTAAAGGTAAACAATCTTGCTCGGTCTTTTTAAAGAGGTCGTATAAAATACATAGATGTTGTTTATGTAATAGATCGGCAAACGAGCTGACGGATCACCTGATGGTAACTAAGCAATCAGCGCCGCTCATGGACACCCGCAACGGAGGAGTAACAAGTGCGTTGCCGACCTTTTAGGGATTAGGAATTTGGAGATTTAGGGATTGGGGGAGGGGCCTCCGGTTTCACGCCGGTTTTTTGTGAGGCCGCGGTATCACTCCGGTCGAGCCGACCCATTCGGCAAAGTAGGTATAGTTTTTAGATAATGTGTTATTTATATAGGTATGCTGCAGGTGTTATTTGACTGTTAAACACAATCGCCTCACCCTAGGTAAAAAAGCATGGATCCGCGTTTCGGTAAACAACGGGTTAAAGAAAGAAGTGATTCAATAAGTGTATTCGTAATTCATTGAAAGTCTTTTTTACAAAACAAGGTTATTCTTTAGACTAGGTCTAAAACTTTAAGGCACTTTTTGTATTTGAAGTTGAAAGTATGTGAGAATAAGATTCAAATACAAAACCTAGACTAAACATAACCCCCTTATTACAAAGCAAGATTTGTATTTAGTCCAGGTTTAAACCATTGAGTCGGGTTTTGAATTATGAATCTTATGTCATCTACCTTCAATTCGAAATACGAAAACTGGCTCAATGGTTTAGTCCTAGACTAAAATAAAACCTTGTTTTGTAATAAGGCCGAACTTGTTTAGTAGGAATACCTAATACGTTTTATTCAAGTCAGTAAATATACTCATTTTTCCTATTCTCTATTGAATTCAGTTTTCACACATTTCACACGTAGCTGAGGTGTCCGAGTGGTTAAGGAGTTGGACTCGAAATCCAATGGGTTCTACCCGCACAGGTTCGAATCCTGTCCTCAGCGTAGTTTTTTGGTCGCATAAGTCATTGTTACATTTGATCCTTTAATAGAGCTTGGTAGAGTTTACTTGAGAAAAGTATTTTTGTTTGAAAGGAGAAACTCTGTAGATATTTTGTTGATTTCGATTCTAATTAAGTAATAAAACATTTTCACTAATAGATGTAGCTATAATGATCCTGAGTGCTATTTATAATAAGCTATAAAACATCATGCTACGATCAAATGGAGTCGAGCAGCGGGTGAAACCGCGCTAGAATAACTAGTAATTATATATAATAGAGGTCATATTATTAGTCCATGTAACCCCACGACGTTTGCCTTTTTTATGCCGTTTTTTATGGCATAGGTTCCAAACGAGCAGACGGATAACTTGATGGTAAGTCGTGTGCGCCGTCTATGGACGGCTGTGGCACCAGAGGAGTCACAAGCGTTGCTAGCATTTTAAAAAGGAGTAGATACGCTCGATTCTTAAGGTCATATCGGTTCGAAAATACCGATGCTGAAAGACAATTCTACTTCAGAGTTTTGCGGTGCTGGGAAGAAAGTTTCGCGTAAATCGCACTCGTTGATTGATTTGATTGTTAATCGTTTGTCAGTGAAGTCTCAATAAAGTTTGAAAGTAGTTTCATATATGTAACTCGGAAAAAGTCCTATTGCTTCTTGCCAGATTTCGGATGGCCCTCATGCTTGAGAAGCCATCACGATTATGGCCAGGGAAACAATAGATAGTAATTATTTCTATCTGTATACAAATAATTGAATAACTCTATTAGATACCTATGCACTTGTGTAAACTTTAAACTGGAGACAATTACTTTTCTGTATGGATTTAATTACTTACGTAGAGCCATTATGGAAATTGGATACCATCATTCGTGGCTGAGGTGTCCGAGTGGTTAAGGAGTTGGACTTGAAATCCAATGGGTTATACCCGCGCAGGTTCGAATCCTGTCCTCAGCGAATTTTTTTAAAACATAACCACATAATTTTTTGGTCTTTTTTGATACATTTGTTGTCGCTTTCCTTTGGGGTAGGTTTGGGTAATAACCTTTATTTTAATGTTAGCTAGAGGTTCTCTAGGACTGTTTTTTATTTCTTATCGGCAGTGTAAATACTTATTACAAGTAAGTTATTTTATGTTTAGTGCACGCCATGCCAAGTGGAATGGTTCTAGGTAGATCACGAAACCGAAGTGAATTTTTATTTATCTTTAATTACTAGTTATTACAATAATTGTACTGCCTTTACGTTTTTTTCCATACTCAAATAGATAAGAGAGAAAAGACAAATAGTGTGCCTATAATCCCTCAAAGTAGGTACAGCATTTATTTTAAGTTTGACTAATTTGGCACAATATTTTCAAATAATGCGAGCTAATGCCCTGTCGTGGCCTGAAACTAATCAAGTAAGTTCGTTGTTCGAAAAGTTCCGGTACCGGACAATATAGGACGATTTATAAGCAAATGACCCTGATACTTAACTATAAACAATGCAACTTACGGTGATAGTACGGTGGACGGAAGGTGTGCTCTTGAACGGACCACCTCGGCGGGAAGATGACAAAGTCTGCTATTGCCACGCCGGGCTTCGTAGACTGGCAGGTCAAGACTGTGAATATCGAGGGATCCTGCGAACATGCATTTAGCTATAAGTCAAACAATTGTAAAGCTTAGGTATCGATCAGTTACATATTCTTCATGTGAAGTTTCGTAGTTCAAAGTGCATATAAAAGTAGGTAATATTCCGGGTGCCTATGGATGGCGTCTACCGATTACCAATAGATGATCTGTCTTCTCGATAGATACCTACCTAATCGGCACCGAAACCAAAGAAGTTACATGGGCATTGCTGGTATTTTGAGGTATGGTTTGGTATAAAAGGTAGTTTTGGGCCTCAGGCGCCGGGTATCCACACGCACGGCTA